TTAAAACTGTCAGGCTCCTCTATGGATGCCATCCCTCCATTTCTTTTAAAACAAGTTTTCGATGCAGTGGGGCCTTATCTTTTAAACATAATAAATCGATGTCTGGAAACATACATGGTACCGGAAGCTTTAAAACATGCTATAGTTCGCAATTTGTTAAAGAAACCAAACTTAGACTTAAATGTTTTGGCTAATTTTAGACCAGTTTCTAACTTGCCTTTTATTTCAAATATTTTAGAGAAGACAGTGCTGCAACAACTGCAGAGTTTTCTAGATAAAAATAAGGTAATCGAGCTTTTTCAATCAGGTTTTAAAAAATATCATTCAACAGAGACTGCACTCCTGAAGGTTCTAAATGATGTGTTAATAGCTGCCGATTCTGGGGATTGTACCGTACTTGTGCTGCTAGATCTGAGTGCGGCTTTTGATACGGTAGATCATGCTATCCTTCTTGCTCGCTTGGAGCATTGTGTTGGTATCAAAGGAGCTGCCCTTGAATGGTTTAGATCTTATCTTTCAAATAGGAAGTTCAGTGTAAATATTGGGGAATATTCGTCGGAGGCTGCTGTTCTTTCCTGTGGTGTCCCACAGGGATCCATTTTAGCTCCCATTCTTTTCACGCTATATATGCTCCCATTAGGGTCTATCTTCAGGAAATATGGGTTGTCGTTCCACTGCTATGCGGACGACACTCAAGTATATTTACCCTTAAAACCTAATACTGATGGGCTGGAAACACTTAGGGCCTGCCTATCTGACGTGAAAGCTTGGTTATCTTTAAATTTCCTCAATTTTAATGAGAATAAAACTGAAATCATAGTTTTTGGCTCATCTGATTCTCCTAGTCAAATAACCCTAGGTAATTCAACACTTCCGGCAAAGCCTTGGGTAAAGAACTTGGGTTTTGTGTTCGATGATGGTTTAAAATTTGACAAGCAAATAAACTCAGTGGTCAAATCCTGCTTTTTCCAGCTTCGTCTTTTAGCTAAAGTAAAACCTATATTATCTTTTAATAACTTTGAAAAAATAATTCATGCATTTTTAACATCGAGGCTAGACTATTGTAATTCACTGTACTACGGGATTAGCCAATCAGCTTTATCCCGGTTACAGATGGTACAAAAAAAAAAGACTTCTGACATGTACTAAAAAACGGGACCACATTACTCCAGTGCTACACACTTTGAACTGGCTGCCTGTACGATACCGTGTTGATTTTAAAATTCTTCTTTTAGTATTTAAATCTTTAAATGGTCTGGCCCCTCCTTACCTTTCGGATTTACTGACAGAACATCGTCCAGTTGTGTCTCTCCGGTCGTCTAATCAGAGATTGCTACGTATTCCGATATCAAAGCTGAAAAGTAGGGGTGACCGGGCCTTTTCAGTAGCTGCTCCCAGATTGTGGAATGCACTACCCTCCAATATTAGATTTGCTCCAACCATATCTGTTTTTAAATCTAGGTTAAAAACTTACCTTTTTGAACTGGCATATGGTCAGTAATGAAATGTATTGCACTGTGTGTTTTTGCTTTTATGATTTTCTTAATTATATATTGATATATATATATTATTATTTTTTTTTTTTTTACGGTCTCTTGTATTGGTGTAAAGCACACTGGTCAACTGTTGTTGTGTTTAGTTGTGCTATAGAAATAAAATTGACATTGACATTGACATTGACAAACCACTCAGAGACCTTAACAACAGATTCAAGTGTTAACCTTGAAAGACAATCATTCTCAATAAGAGCTGAGAGTTTATAGTGATATTCAGCAACATGTGCAACAAATCTGATGTCAGCATGTCTAATTACAATGTTATTACTAATAATGGCAAAAATAGTAAATCTTTTGTTACCTGGCATAGCCTCCATTGGTACATTTCTCAACAGGTTATCGCATTCACCTACATTAGTAGAAAACATTTTTTTTTATAATACAAACAAATCTTTCATTATATAAATGCTCATGCTCTATTAACTCCCTATTTGAGTGTTTAGATCACTCGCTGTTCAGCTGTGCTTATAAATTAAAAGTACTGTCAGGAATTGGTCACTTGTTGCAAAGTCCTGCCTATTTAAATAACTCATCCAATCCTCAAATAATAAGACAGGCTACCTACCATGCAAATGATACAGTATGCAAATATCAATTATTGAATTTCTTAGAGATGATTGAATTAAGCTGAAGTATATAAAAAATATATATAACTTTAGTTTTGTAGAAATAGTAGAAGTAGAAAGCAAAGAAGAAATATATATTTTCGAAAATTCTTATCTTACCATTTTCAAGGTCCATTTTTTTTAGTTCAGATTTCCCTACTTCTCGTGCATGTACATGACAAAAAGAAAATTATGTTAATCTATGTAATATAATCTTTGCGAGACATGGGTGTTAATTAAAGATGCATCTTGAAGGTGATATGTTGAATATTTTTTTCATGGCACTTACGCTTTTGTTTTTTATGTCTGTAGAGGTAAAATGCCAGCACAGCAAGCAGAATAATGAGAAGCACTGTCACTATTAAGACTGGAACAAGCACAGCAGGGCTTTCTCTGCCTGCAACCAAAACCATTCAAGAAACAGCTTAAAGCATCTACCATCAAAGTCTCAAGGTATTGTGTTGAATGATTTACTAGCTCACCTGTGTGGCAGTCTTGCAGAGTAAAGTCTGTGGTCCTGCTTCCAGCTTTATTCTTCACAGTGCAGGTATAGACTGAGTTGTGGTTTTCCTCCTGTTCATTAACAAGAAGTGTTGGTCCCAGCTGTTTTATATTAGGTCCACTCCATTCATAGCTTGGCTGAGTCTGGGATACCACTGAACAGGACAGTTTTTTAAAATTCCAAGTCTCATCCAGTTCACAGGTCACCTGAGGCTCCGGCAGAGCATCTAAGACAGGCAGGTATTTAATGATAATAAGTCATTTTGAGATTATAAATCAACAATTAAAATTTACAAAACAAAAATGACCTTTTCAGTGACTAATGTACTGTCTGTGATTTAAACAATTTTAGTGTAATTTATTGTGTAAATTTAAATTAAATTGAAATACAGCTGATTTACACAATTCTCATTTCATACCACTTTCATACTAGCCACTGAAAAACCCATATCAGTTGACAATTAGATACAACACCTAAACTTTATGAATGCCACCATACAGTAGGTCTAAGTGCATGCTGGTCATGTCTTCTCCAATTTATAATGAAAATTATTTTTACACATAATTTAGGAAGTCAAACAGTTGCTGATATATACAGTAAGTGGTCTATTCACAATAATCTACTGTAGGAGACTACTAGGCACTAATCTGCACATAATCATCTGAGATATATAGATAGTTTACCCAAAACTGTCAAATTATGACTGGAGATTTGAGCATTCCTATTGATCCAAATTTCAGACTGATATTTGCCACTGTCTTGGCTGTTTAGTTTTCTTATTGTGAGCTGTCCTGTTTCAAAATCAAGATCTACACGGTCTTTAAATGAGCCATATTTCGCCACCTCACTCCCATCATATTCCAGAACCTTGTTGCCATTATGTGTCCACAGTATTTCTTCAGGCTTTCCACGGATGCTTGGAGTAAGTATGATCTTGTTTCCACTTTCGCCATAGTCAACGCAAAAAACTAAATCTAAAGCAGATGAAAAAAATCCCATTAGTGAAACAACTTCTTACACCCTGTGGGGGAATCTCAGAAAAAACATATCCGGGCCATATATCACAAACGATAAATACAAGACTTCATATTATGCTGAAAGATTATTAAGCGTGTTTAATAATCTATCGCAAAATACACTTGGACACAGTAATGTATTGAGTGACACTGACTGTCATTAATGTAATAAAGCAATCTCGACTGTATAACAGCAAAGGTGTTGTAATACAATGTTTGTAATTGGTCAAATTAAATTGAATAATAACAAGGAAACACACACACACACACACACACACACACACACACACAAAACCCACACACAATAGTTATTCCAGTTGTAAATAATCAAATTGTGCAAACTTAATATTGAAGTTAATATTCTTAATGGCATTTGATCTTCGTTTTGCAAAACATAGGCTAATTACTTATTTAATTATTTTTATTTTGGGGTGAAGTATGACCTGGACATGTTCTTAGTTTGTTTCGTTAAATCAACAAGTTGCCACCCACAACAAACATAATATTGCCAACAAACAACAAATCAGTTTTTTTTAAAGGGGTCATATGATGCTGCTAAAAATAACATTATTTTGTGTATTTGGTGTAATGAAATGTGTACCAAGAGCTTGTAACACTCCAAAGAGAAAGGAAAAATTGAAAACGCATCATATGACCCCTTTAAGAAATCACTATAATATTATCAATGGTTTTACATGCTTTATTTATCTGTACAAAAGATCACAGAACAACTTCAGTACAAAGTTCAGTGAAAGTCCCTAATTCAAAGAGAGAATGCAGCAAAGTTTATACACGTTCAACTTTTAATCTTGTTATTCTGGCTTCAACAATGCCTTAATGTTACTCTATTATCTAAAATAATTCTAAACCAATTCCACATTTTTTAAAACTAAGCCTACGACTTCTTAAAGAAATCCGTGAATGCCTGTTGTCGTTTCGACAAAACACGGTTCACTGCACCTGGCGGGGCTACAATAGGCAGTCTTTCATTGTATTACGAGTTACTTCACCTCGGCTCCATGTTTAAAAAGATTTCGGACTTACCTTGAGACAAACAGAAACATGTAACGTAAACCAAAAACTTCATAACTGCCATCTTCACTCGAGAGTGTTTCTTCTGTGTGTGAGGTGCAGCTTAATGGCGATTTTGAATTGAAACGTTAAACACATTTGCTGCATGAATCTCGACAGTCGAGGCTAAAAACCAGGACAATTAAACATTAAAAAGTTGCCACAGTGTTTTGAGGCAGTGAGAAAAGAAAGTAAAAAAATCCCCGACGAAAAGTATCGAGCGACCTTTGAAATAGGCGGAGATAGAAGGTGATGAACGCACCTTTACAAGCGACGCAAGCAGTAAACAATCAGGCTGCTGTTCCCGCTGGTGTGTTTTTGGTACTTCTTCCATGGTAATATTCAAGCGACTAGGAAATATCACACACACATATCACACACACACACACACACACACACACACACACATTGTCTGGTCAGCTATCCTTGTGGGGACTCTCCATAGGCGTAATGGCTTTTCTACTGTACAAACCGTATATTCTATTGCCCTACACCAACCCTACCCCTAAACCTACCCCATCACAGGAAACTTTCTGCATTTTTAGATTTTCAAAAAACTTAATTCTGTATGACTTATAAGCTTTTGTACCCGTGGGGACCACAATTTAGGTCCCCACTGTGACACGAGTCCCCATTAGTCTGTTTGTAGTCAGGTTTAAGTCCCCACCAGAATATATAAACCAGTACACACACACACACAAATGCATTATTAGCGAATAACAAATTTGTCAGATTGAGAACCTGCTGTTTGTTGGCAGTGATTTGAAAAGAATATCCTCATTTTAAAAATTAAAGTAGGCTATTATAAAATATTTTGAAATTTGTATTAAACAAACAAACAAAAAACACATTTATTTATTTGTTTGTTTGTTTATCGTGGACTTTCTCTTGCGGTGGTCATGGACCTATGTGCCCTGTTTACTCAACTCTTGGTTTACTCTGCATACCACATATCAGATCTGCTGTAGCCTATCCCCCCCCAATTCAACAGTCCATTTGATCTGTTAGTGACATATATGTACAGGATATTGCACCCTATATGAAGTTATCCACATTCAACCTTGGGATTGCATAATGGATTTGCATTTTGCCTTTCTGTCTCTATTTTCACATTTCCTCTAGGTGGCAGCATTGCATGTTCAGCTGCACTGGTATTGGAAACCTAACTGTGCATGCTAAATTAATTTGATACAAATAACCTGCCCAGAAATCTATTGCAAAACAAATATATAGATGGACCATGCATGTTTAAATATTTTATGTTAATATGCTACATTTTAAAGGGATTTGTCTTTTTCAAAGGGAACGAAATTAATTAGCTGCATTCAGTAAAGTGTGCACATATCAAGGAATAAAATACATAATAAATGAGTCAATTAAAACACAAACATACTTTTCACTGTTGTTATATTAAAAGGCTTTATTTAATATTTAAAATCATGGCATGGAATCTACTACATTTCCAAACAATAACAAAACTTTTTCTCTCTCTCTTTTAGATGCCTTGTAAATGAAGAGAACATATTTAGTTCTCCCTTTATATTTTTTCTCAGCATATACAATAAGTATGTATATATATATATATATATATATATATATATATATATATGTGTGTGTGTGTGATGATTTATTATCAGTGTTGAAACTGTTGTGCCGTTTCATATTGTTTTTTGGAAACTGTGATACTTTTTTCTTTGATTCTTTGATGAATACAAAGTTAAAAAGAACAGAATTTATTTAAAATAGAAATATTTTCTAACAATATAAGTCTTTACTATGACTTTTTATTCATTTAACACATTCCTCCTGAATAAAAGTATTAATAGGAAAAAATGTGCGTACCCCAAACTTTTGAATAGCATTGTATATTGTAACACAAACTTTCTTTTTTTAATAAATGCTGTTCTTTTTAACTTTTTATTAATCAGATAATCCTAAAAAAAAATACCACAGGTCCCAAAAAAAAAAAAAAAAAACAAAAGACGA